CACACACACACACACACACACACACACACACACACACACACACACACACACACACACACACACACACACACACACATAAAATAAGTTTTATGTCTGTCAGTCTATTTCCTGTTGTCTGTCTTCCCTCTGATATTTTCTATGTATTTTTTGTGTGCCCAACTGAGCACCCTTAAGTAGTGCCAAACAGTCGGTGGTTCCTCGTTTGGAGTGCCTACTGCACTCTTAGGGGAGCCGCTCGGTTCGGGATGTCTGTGTTGCCTGTGGGTGATGATGGATGGTCGTCAGAGTGTCTCCCTGGCTCAGTAGGTGGTGGGAACCAACAGTCTGCAGGGTTCAATCATGATGTGAGTAGGTCATGTGCCACTTTGCTCCATGTTGGATGTGTGGACTGCCTCGTCTGTGCTCTGCTGCTACCTTGCTGTTTGTCCTGCTTGCTTCGCATGTGGTTCTCTGCAAATTGCTGTGTCCACTGTGTGGTGTGGCCGTGTTGCTGGTGTTGTCTTGCGCTTCGCTGCTGCTCCGCTGCCTTGCCGCTCATCCGCCGGCCGTGCCTTCCGTGTCCTTTGCTTGCACGCCTTGTAGTTCGGTTGCCTTGTCAATGTTTCATTGTGCTTCACCGCATGGTTGGTGTGCTGCTCATCTGCTTCCCTGTCGTCCCTTGCAGTGTGGTTGCCTTGATGGTGTTGCATTGTGCTTCACTGCGTGGTTGCCACGCTGCATGTCCTGCGTGCCTTGTCGTTCCTTGCAACCGTTTTTGGAGTTGTGCAGCCGTGTTGCCTCTGCTGTGTTTCCTCTACTGCGTTGCCTGGTGCTCCGCAGGGTTGCTGCCCGCTGCTATGTTCCGCTCGGGGACAGTCTGCCCTCAACATGGGTAAAAGGGTTCATGACCCAAACCAGCAGTACGGAGATCCCGCAGATTGTCGAGGGTTCAGCCTCCTGATGAGTTGGTGCAACTCCGACGAAACAATCTATTATCATCAGCTTTTACTTTTTTTGGTCTTTCAATTTTGTGGGACTTGTAGTTTTTCGGTTTGCCTGCTCGGTGTGTTTGCATGTCGTCTGCCCTCCCGCCGCCTATTGTTCACCTCCTGGTCTTGGCATCTTTTGGGAGGTGTCTTTTTTTGGTTTGCCTGTGTGTAGTTTGCCCTCCCGCCTCCCCCATGACCTCCATCCTATATGGGACTCTAAGAAAGCTGGTCATGTAAGGCACAGATGAATGAGGTAGCTTCAGGGATGTAAAGTCGCAGCAGAGAGCGCTAGTTTGGACATGACCAGGGCCTCGTGTACCCCTGTGGTGGTGGGGTACATGGTATGGATTTGCCATGAGATCTTATTTTTACACACACACACCATCGAACAAAAAGGCAGTGGTGTTACAGAACGAATGAAATGGAAGAGACAGCTCTCTCTCTCTCTCTCTCTCTCTCTCTCTCTCTCTCTCTCTCTCTCTCTCTCTCTCTCTCTCTCTCTCTCTCTCTCTCTCTCTCTCTGTTCGGCACTAGCCTTATTCATCCATCGCTCCATGACCATTGCACGTCCAGAATATGAACCAGTCCACACCAATTCCTCACAGCAAAGCCAACGCAGACCTCATCACAACACCCAGCCCCTGCAGGACGTTTGCAATCGTGATACTGAAGCCAAGATGAGCTCGTGCTGAATTCCACATGGCGGAGATGCCCAAAATCACAAAGGTTAAGACTCTTGAGAGGTCTCAATTTTTTCTCAAATCATTTATTCTGCATTCGCAACAGCGGGAAAAGAGAATTCTGACTGAGCCAGGCGACTCGACCAAGCCCATCTGAAACACAAAGCCCCCAGAAACGGAACCCCAAGTTTACAGAAAACAAAAAAAAAAACGAACCACCAAGTTGAACCAACCATGATGCTTTCACCAAAGAAACTTTTTTTTTCTTTTCTTTTTTTTTTGAAATTCTTTAATTAGAGGGCTCTGCGCAAATGAAACAACTATGCACGTCTCATTTAAAGGGATCTCCAATCCAAAAGAATCTCCAAGAAGTCAACGAAAGGTTGACTTTTTCATTTTTAGACCAACCAATGGCACTTTCAGGATATAGATCGAACCGTCATGGAAGTTCTTAAGATCATATGGCAAAAACTGAGACTACCTTTGACTTCTGGTTGGTGGGAAGGACTGAAATAGAGTGGGGGGGGGGGRGGGGAGGACTGAAATGGAATTGAAATTTCAGAAGTGAAAATATATTTTCCAAGGCAATTGTAGGATTGGGAAGGGAAAAAAAAAAAAAAAAAGAAGATTGGGCAGAACGAGAGGAGGTACTACTCACGAGACGGGTGGGTACTCGAAGTGGAACTGTCACTGTGCTCTGCTTCCCATCCCTCAGAACACAGAGCTCCGCTGATTCTCCTGAAAATCTGTAAATGCCAAAAAAAAAAAAAAGTTTACAGTTTAAAGTTTAAACCAGTGTTGGGCCGGCAACCGGCCGGTTGAGCTACCCCGGTCCAACCGGAGCCGGACCAGACCAGGGGGGGTGAACCGGGAAACCGGTTTTGAAAAAAAAGTGCCCAAATATCTTCTTTTTTTTTTTTTTTTTGGGCAGATTCCGACTGCGCTCTTCAAGAGCTGTCCGAATCTGCCATAAAATTTTTAAGGTACAACATTTTTCAGGGGGCTTCCAGAGGGGGGCAGGGGGTTATCATTGACATATTCAGGCAACTACGACTTCCTCAGGGACGGGTCAAGTAAGCAAGTTCACTTATCCGACCCCCCCGTCGCTGGAGCATTTCGTGGAGTATGTCATTTGATATTGATACCCCACGAGCTGAACCAGATATGATGAGAGGAGGTCCTCGCCCGAAATTATAGTTCTTCCAGAGTATATTTCGACAGCAGAAAAGTTATGGTTCCAGCTTTCTGCTCGTGGAGGCAGAGCGTTTTCTGTTTGTTGGTTCCTACATAAGGTGAGTTGTGAGTCCGGAAGTATCTTGTCTGCCAGTCTGTCCAGATACATGTAGTGGAGCAAGGTCCATTCGAGATAGATAGAGAGAAAAATATGGGCCTCGCTGCACTACTCTCGAAATGTGCAAAACGAGAGTGAATCTTCCGCTAGAATTCGGAAAGATACACCGCCAAGATTTTTGTCTTTTGTGCATGCGAGAGTAGTGCAGCAACGCCCTATATTTTAGGTCCATTCTTGGGATTGCAGCTCGGATGGCTCTGAAATCACAATTCCAAAATCCGAACCCATAACTTTTTCCACAGATGGCAGGGACGTCGCAGAAGGATATAATCTCAGCAGAGTCTCATCAGAAGCATAGTGTTCCCCTCGTGGCTGAGGGCGAAAGAGCATCAGATGTTGCCAATGGTAACTGGTCCATTGGACCACAAGATGACAAATTGGATTAGGGGCCTACCCGACCCACATCTTAGGAAAAACGCATGGCTGTTCTCCGCTGCTGATCTGCATAGATCAGCGGCGGATATCCTCTGCCCGTTTTTCTTATAGAAATGGGGTCCTGGCCGATCCTTGCCGCTGATCTGCGACGATCGGCGGCCAAGATTGGCCACTTTCTGTACTTGAAAAATCCGGGCCTACAGGACCCGGTTTCGAAATTGCGGGGCAGGGCCCGCCCCCACGAGGCCTTGGGAACACATATGCGCCGACAAAAAAAAAAATCAGCCCCCAGCGAAAATGCGCTGGGGACAACCGGGAGGAAACCGGCCCGGACCACTGGCCGGTCCAACCGGAAGGACCGCGGATGGGGTAGGGGTCCCCAGTCCATCCGGGGACCAGCCCTGGTTTAAACTTTAAAAAACTTAAAAAAAAACTTTAAAAAAGTTAATACATTACTCCAGGATGCAGATTAGATCATGACTCTGTGTCCTAGAGAGGATCAGACCAAACAAGTGCAGGCAACATTAAGGTTGTTTCTTCATGTGTGCACAACAAACAAAAAAAAGGACCTGCCGGTTTTCACTGGGTGAATGAGAGGGTCATCATCTGATTTCGTCATGCTTAGAAAGACAAAAAAAAAAAAAAAGAAAGAGAATCCAATATCTGAATATATTAAATTTATAAATGGTAAAGCTAGGGGGTTTTCCGGGGCACCCGGGCACCCAAGTTGTGCCCGGATACATGCCCGGTGCCTGGCCGGGCATGACCCCCGAGCAGGGTCCCGCGCAGCCCCAGCGGGTTGGGGGGGGGGGGAGAGGGAGAGGAAATCCAAGAAATCCGAAAAAAAAAAATTGTTGTGTGGAACTGCAATACAAACAACTTCTGGCTGAGGGTCACATCAGAATTCCTCACGGAACTGAGGATAAAAAAAAACAAACCGAATCACAGTAAGGCACCCCCCTTTAAACCCCTTTAGCCCCTTTAAAAACAATTTATTCCCCCCTTCCACCCCCCTTGACAGCCAGCACTCAAGAAAAGAAAAGAGCCCGGATTTGGGCTCCTCTCGGAGAACGCAGAAAAACCCCACCACCCAAAAAAGAAAAAAGAAAAAAAAAATGTTTTTTTTTTAATTTTTTTGCCATGCCCGGGTATGCCGAGCATCAGACCCCCCCCCCGAGCGTCACGCCGGGTGACCGGCCGGTCCAGACCGGCTGGTCATGAAAATCTTCCTAGCTGTAAAGGATAAAAAGGGCGATTGCCGGCAACAGGGGGATGGATTGTGGTTACGAGGGTACAGTAGGGGTTTGTAGGCTCCATACGCTTGAAGGTACAACGATGCGAAAATTTGGGTAATCGACGGGACAGGCAGGTGATGATACAGGGGGAAGATTTAGATAGGCAGGAGATCATACAGCAGGAAAGATCCGGGTGAAAAGGAAGGTCTGCGATGGTGTGAGGACCGGCGAATGGGGAGGTGCCAGGACCTCCCCCCCCCCCCCGAGACACGACTAATGTGCGACTGGGTACATACTAGATCCGTTCCTCGGCCATTAGGCGTGCCCCGGGAGAAAGAGAGGGGGGGGGGGTTTGTAGGGGCCACCCGGGGCACCCCCCAGTCCCCCCTGTAGAGTGTCTAGGACGGAAGGCCATTGGGCTGTTCCTTGTCCTCTCCTTGAACAACTGAATTCCACTACTTGTGAAGGACGCTGGGCTCGTTTTCCAGCAGGTGCAGCTCCCCAGCAATAGATTGGAGCTCTCTTGTTCGCAAAAAAAAAAAAAAAAGTGGAATGACCTCGGCATACTCACTTCTGACTCACAAGAAACCCAAATGATATCCTCTCGCCAGTTCGAAAAGGAACCGTCCCATCATTGGCCACTGGCGTCCCGTCAAAGCTCATGATTACATCATTCTGCAACAGACGACAGCATACCTCAATGTTAGTGGGAGAGTGCACATCTCCCAAGGCCGCCCATCTCTCTCTCTCTCTCTCTCTTTCTCTCTCTCTCTCTCTCTCTCTCTCTCTCTCTCTCTCTCTCTCTCTCTCTCTCTCTCTCTCT